TTTTTTTTGGGGGGGGGGGGGGGGGGGGGGGGGGGGTAATGAACATAGTTAATGTCGTCACAAGTAGAAAGTAAAAAAGTAGCAAGTTCATGTGTTTTGAATCAATAAAAGACGAAACTAAGATGTTGTGATCCCCAGAATTCATAACTAAGTAAGACCCGATATAATTAACTCTTTCTATTATATAGCATGCAAGATCGGTAGGCTAAGTTCACCCAAGTGTTTGGTCCCCTAAATAAGTGAATATCACCACATAACTTAGTATGTCTACGGGTGTATGCTTTACTAACCTATGGATGTTTTTACGATCCGTATTGCATAGTCGTAAAACTTAAGCTTCCATTTTATATCTCTGAATCTCCATCTATGAAGGCATCTATGACTCGTTGTCCAAACCACAAGCTCGTAGAATGCACTCGTGAATTCTAAAATACCAATGAACAACTCCTAATTTTGTACTTCATTACCGAATCTTTTTTTTTCTGAAAAAATATTACAAAACACATCAAATCTACTTTAACACACTAGAAAACTTACAAACATCGTAAGTTTCAAACATCAAAAGTGTCGTAAATCCACGACACATCACTAGCACATCACTAGCCTAAAATTTTCAACTCACTTCTCCAAAAGTTCTCTTACCCAAATTCTTTCACCATTGGTTCACCCATAACAATCTAAAAGGTCGTTACACCCCCCCACCCCCACCCCCACCCCTCGTTACACCCCCCCCCCCCCACCCCCACCCCTTTCTTCCTCTCTCTTCTACTTCTTTTTCTTTTTAGCTATTGTTCACCATTTTAAATTTTAACTTTTCCCAACTTATGATAAACCAAGGGAGAAAAAAAGGAGGAAATAATGATGACATTTATATAGAAATAATTACTTCAATAGAAGATGATTTCATTAAGCCACTATGTACATATCATGTATTTTTCTTTTGTGTGTACCCAAAATTCAAAATAAAAGAATGAAATAATTTTTTCTCCTGTTCCCACCCCTACCTCACCATGATAATAATACAAATTAAAAGAGTATGAATATGTGTCACGACCCAGAGCATCGTGATTGACACCCACACTAACCCTCTGGTGGGAGAACCATTACTACAATCCAACTACACAACTTAACGAAAACTAGAACATTTAAAGATACGGAAGCACGTTTAAATGTCTAAAGAAATATAGAGTTTCCATAAACTTTGAAGTTTAATAAAACAACTACCAAAATATTTGTGGAAAACAATTCCTACAACATGAAAGTCATTGTACCAAAACTCTAATTTCAACAAGTCTAAGAAAAATGGGTACAACCCTAACCAAGCATAAGAAATATCTAAAGAACTAGTCTAAGTCAGAAGAAAATGGACTAAACATAAGAGAATCCAGGGCTGCCTGGAAGAACTGGTTCACCCTTGAATTCGGTCTCGATCAGTTACCTCCAAGCAGAGGTCGATCAGTAACCGCTTGAAGATGCCCTGTACTCAACAAAGAACGAACAAGTGCAATATCAGTACACAACCACAGTGTACTGGTAGGATCATGCGGCTACTCCAATGAGTGAAACATAGACAAGCAATCACAACATAGTATATACATATAAAGAATACATAGATCAATTATCCTTTCAAGAGCACATACAGTTCTCAATATCAACAACAATTAGACATGAATATATAGAATCACAATGGTCCTCTCATGGAACCCCTACGCAAACTGTTAGTGTGTCGAAACGTGACATCCGATCCAATATATCTGTCGGAACGTGACACCCAATCCAATATATTTGTCGAAACGTGATACCCGATCAAATATATTTGTCGGAACGTGACACCCTGTCCAATCAACACAACCACAATCACAATCACACCCATAATGAACATTACTCATAATCATACAATCAAGTATTAGGTTCATGTCATGCAATTGTTCATTCATACTCATTTTCAATAGATTTGTTCTACATTGCCTCATTCACATACATGCATGCATACAATGAATCAATTACCAACATATATCACACAAACAGGAAATCAAACCATCACCTACCTCGAAATCAAGCTTGAATCCTCCTAAGACACTTGAGCCTTCCCTTTTCGGATTCTTTCCGCTTGTTCTTGGTCTAAAAACAATCAATTTACGCAAGGATCAATAAACAAGGCCTAATTTACTCGGATAACAATCAATTTATCTATCCATGGTCAAACCCAAGATCCTATTATTCAATTAGGACTTTTCCCACCATTAACTTCAGGCTAAAACCCTCCCCCAATGATCATTACGCAATATTCTAAGGTTTACAAATCAAATTATGGATTAGGGGAGTAAAAATCTTACCTTTAGCACTAGAAAATGTGGGAAACTGGTCAAGAATTGTTCTAGGTCGTCTCCTAGCTCTCAAGGACTAAGTTTTGCAGAAAATAATGAATTTGAGGTTTTTCCCAACTTAAGTAGCGAATGGCGTGCCGTAGTGGGACCCAGCCCGCCACATCGGCCCCGTCTTGGTGGAATTAATCCCCCCTGGTGGCTTGCACGGAGACAGAAGCTCAGAATTTGAGTTCCAAGCTCCCATTTCACAACACACTTTCAAACCAGGACGTTCTAAAACTACCCTTTCATGCTAAGATCAGTTTCGGGAGTTCTAATTGCCCGAATTCGATTCCGTAAAGCCGTACAGGCTCCTTAATGTATTGCCTATCCACTCATGTGATGAAATTCATAATTAGATCCCCCATTCATTACCATATTCCCCAGACCATATCCGACTCAGATTTCGTCCAAATCTGGACTAGGCTAAAAAATTTAAGTCACTACTCAAAAGTTTCTCTGGTCAAAATTCTTTCCCCATTGGCTTTTCTATAACGATGGAAACAAGTCATTACAATAGATACCAATTTACCCATCACTCGTCCTCGAGTGATAAACTAGGAAAAACTGGCTAAGGTAAGAGTAGAGTAATACTTGATCAATCGTCGAACAATTGGGGATATTTGTCTCGCATGTCCTTCTCAATTTCCCAAGTAGCTTCCTCGATTGGACGATGCTTCCATTGAACTTTCACGGACTTTATCTCCTTGGTCCTCAACTTCCGAACATCGCGATCAAGAATTGCAAGCGGTTCCTCTTCATGCTGAAAGTCTTTGTCCAATAGAACTGAGTCCCATTTTATAATGTAATCTCCGTCACCATGATACTTCTTCAACATGGACACATAAAACAATGGATAAACTCCAGATAAGCTAGGGGGTAAGGCCAATCTATAAGCCACTGGCCCTACACAGTCAAGGATCTCAAATGGTCCAATGTATCGGGGACTAAGATTTCCCTTCTTGCCAAATCTCATCACCCCTTTCATGGGTGACACTCTTATAAGGACTTGCTCACCAGTTTGAAATGTCATGTCCCTTACCTTACGGTCCACATACTTCTTTTGGCTACTCTGGGCTACTAGAAGCTTAACTTGAATGCTTCTTACCTTATCATCCTTCACCAAATCAACCCCCAAAGGTTTCACATCTCTATTCTCAAACCACCCTATGGGTGATCTACATTCCCTCCCATAAAGTTCCTCGAAAGGTGCCATGTCAATGCTGGCGTGATAACTGTTATTATAGAACTCACACAAAGGTAGGAACTTATCCCAATGCCCTCCAAAGTCGATCACACATGCTCTCAACATAACCTCTAACCCTTGAATCATTCTCTCTGACCTGCCCATCCGTCTATGGATGGAATGCTGTGCTAAAAGCGAGTTGAGTGCCTAACTTCTCATGTAATTTTCCCCAAAACTTGGATGTGAACTGCGTACCACGGTCCAACATGATAGAAAGGGGAACTCCATGCAGCCTCACTATCTCTTTCGTATAAACCTTAACCAACTACTGAACATTATAGTCTACTGTGACTGGAATAAATTAGGTTGACTTAGTCATTCGGTCAACCACTACCCAAATGGAATCAAACTTCCCCAATGTCTTGGGAAGACCAACCATAAAATCCATAACTATTATTTCCCACTTCTATTCCGGAATTGGCATTCATTGAAGCAAACCTGCAGGCCTATGGTGCTCATACTTTACTTGCTAACAGTTTTGGCACTTAGCCACAAACTCAACTATGTCTTTCTTCATGCCAGACTACCAATAACGTCGTTTCAAATCTCGGTACATCTTGGTCACACCCGAATGAATGGAATACCGCGAACCATGAGATTCAGTCAACATCTTCAGAATCAAGTCATCCACTGGAGAACACAAATCCTTCCTTTAAAACTGAGCACACCACCTGCGTCAAGAGTCGCATCTGATGCCTTGCCGGACACTGTCTTTTTTCTGAGCTCATTTAAATTCTCATCTTCAAACTGTTTGCCCTTGATCTCTTCAATGAAAGTAGGTCTAACCTCAATGCTAGCTAACACCCCACAGTTTTCTGGGATGCCCAACTACATGAATTTAGACTTCAAGGTTTAAATCTCCTTGGCCAAAGGTAGCTTAGACACACCCAAGCTAGCTAGACTACCCATACTCACTGCCTTCCAGCATAATGCGTCTGCCACCACGTTAGTCTTACCCGGATGATATTGGATGGTGACATCATAATCCTTAAGTAACTCCATCCACCTTCTCTATCTCAGATTTAGGTCCTTTTGAGTGAATACATGCTGCAAACTATAATGGTCAGTAAGCACCTCACACTTGACACCATAAAGGTAATGTCGCCATATCTTAAGGGCAAACACTATCGCTGCAAACTCCAAATCATGCGTATGGTAGTTCCTCTCATGCACATTTGACTATCGTGATACATAAGCTATAACATTCCTATCCTGCATCAACACAACACACAAATCCGAATGTGAAGCATCACAATAAATAATATAATATTTACCTTTCACCGATAGTGCTAGTGGTTAGAAGAGTCTTGAGCTCTTGAAAGCTCTCTTTACATTTTTTGGTCCATTTGAAAGACATCTCTTTTTTGGTCAGCCTTGTCAGATGTGTGGCGGTAAAAGCAAAGTTTTTCACAAACCGACGAAAGTAGCTAGCGAGCCCCACAAAACTCCTAACTTCAGTCACAGAGCTAGACCGGACCCAATTTTTAACCGCTTCAATCTTTTGGGGATCTACCATTACCCCTTCCCTTAAAACTACATTCCCCAAAAAGGCAACTGAATCCAACCAGAACTTACACTTGGAAATTTGGCATACAACTTGTTTCCTAGGGACACCCAAAACAATGCGAAGATGGTCTGCATGCTCTTCCTTACTCCTTGAATACACCAAAATGTCATCAATGAAGACAATAATAAAAGAATCCAAAAATGGTTTGAACACACCATTCATCAACCTCATGAAAGTTGCAGGCGCATTGGTCAACCCAAACAACATTACTAGAAACTCATAGTGCCCATAACGGGTCCTGAATGCCATTTTTAGTATATCATGAGGCCTAATCTTTAACTGATAGTAACTAGACCTTAGATCAATCTTAGAGAAAACTGACACACCCTGCAACTGGTCAAAAATATCATCTATTCGAGGCAACATATACTTATTCCGAATGGTGACCCTATTCAATTGTCGATAGTCTATACACATCCTCATACTACAATCTTTTTTCTTAACAAACAAGACAGGAGCACCCCACGGGGAAGTACTAGGACAAATGAACCCTTTATCAAGAAGCTCATGGATTTGATCCTTAAGCTCTCTCAATTCAACCGGAGCCATGCGATACGGAGGGTTGTAAATGGGGCTAGTGCTCGGTTCCAAATCAATGCAGAAATCTATATCTTTATCCGGAGGCATACCAGGAAAATCGGTAGGGAACACAACCTTAAATTCAGACACTACATGTATAGCCTCAATAGAGGGAGACTCAACCTCAACATCCCGAATATGAGCCAAATATGCCAAACATCCCTGCCCCACCAGTTTCCTAGCCCGAATGGAAGATATGACCTTAGATGGCTTAGGCTTGTACACCCCTTCCCACTCTAACTTTTCCCTACCCGGGATCTCTAGAGTCACATACTTAGTATTACAATTAAGCACAACATAATAGGGGGACAACCAAGTCACGCCTAAGATTATATCAAAGTCAGTCATATCCAGAATAACCAAATCAACCCAAGTCAGAAAACCCATAAATAAGATAGGACAAGTACGATAAACATTGGTGACTATGACAGACTCTCCAACTAGGGTAGAAACATGGATGGGGGAATCAAGTACATCACAAACCGCATCAAATCCCAAGGCAAATTGAACTGACACATAGAAATAAGTAGAACCCGGATAAAAAAAATAGTAGTCATCTGGTCACAAACAAGAATAGTACTTGTGATCACTGCGTTAGACGCCTCAGCCTCGGTCATGCCCGGGAAGGCATAACACTGAGCCATGCCATCTTGACAAGCGAACTTCTTGCTTGGCTGCACCGCTCATCTACCTGCATTACCATTTCCCCGGCCTCGTTGATTCCCTCCTCAACCACTTTGTGGACGTCCTCTGCCATTATTATCATTGCTCGCGGGTACTAATGCTCTAGTCTGCTGGTGTGCGAGGTCAACCTTGCGTAGGTGGGGACAATCTCTTCTCATATGTCCAAGTTCTCCATAGTTATAACAAGTGTGGTCAAAAGACGGCCTACTGCCCGCCGAAGGTGCGGCTCCCTTGCTATCCTGAATAAAATTTTGTTGTGGAGTTCTCGAGTAACAACTATAGAAGCGGGCACAACTAACTGGATTGGCCGGGCTGTAAGTGTCGGCCTGCCTGAACCTCTGGAGTAGGAACCATGAAAGTTACCTGTGCTCTTGGGCTTCTTAGTCAAAGCCTTGTCTTACCCATCACGTCGAACTCCTTTTACTTTCTTCACAAAGTCGGTCACTTCGTTAAAACTTTTACCTGCAGATGTCATATTAACAGACAATACATGTTGCTTAGAGTTTAATCCCTTGACAAATAGACAAATCCTCTCCTCCTCAATAGTCACCAATTGTGTAGCGTATCTAGACAATGCATGGAACTTAGCCTCATAAGCAGCTATAGACATACCACCCTGTTCCAAAGACATGAACTCATCCTTTTTGCGATCCCTCAAAGTCTGGGGCACATACTTTTCCAAAAATAAATTGTGAAACTGCGTTCAAGTGAGTGGGGGCAAGACTGGCGATCTGTATTCTACATAGGCTCTCCACCACTGCTTAGCCTCTCCCTGAAGCTGGAAAGTCATGAACTCTACTCCATGCTGATGTACAATACCTAACTTATGAAACCTCTCATAACAATATAAAATAAATTCATAGGCGTCCTCACTCTCAGAACCATGGAACACAGGCGACTTCAATTTCAAGAACTTAGTCAACATCTCATGCTCATTACCAGTCATCACATGACCTAATAGGGGAAGGAAAAAAGCATCAATGCCTAATGCTCTATCCACTTTGGGAATAGCAGCAGTAAAGGGGAGGTTGGTTGGAGGTTGAGCAACTTGCACTAGTGGAAGGACTTTGGGGCTGATCAATCCCTTTAGGAAAGTCATGATCTGCTGAGCTAACACTATGTCTAAGGGAGGAACGCCGGTATTACCTGCCGGTGCACCTTCCTCTGGTCCAACATCCTCCTCGTTCCCAAACTTAACATTCTCTTCTACCTCTTCTTGGGGTGCAAGAGGGGCCTTTTCCCGAGGAACATTCTCAGTTGGGACTCTACTCCTGGCGGGTGCAACTCTTCCTCGACCTCTACCCCTTCCTCTTCCTCTTCCCCTTCCTCGACCACAACCTCTTGTTGTAGACTCATTGACGGGGGCTACGGGTCTAACGTTGTTGAATCGCGTGTTAACCGTCTGCATATAGAAGAGTGAAGGAGATTAGATACCAATTTGGATCACCAGATACCAATTGTAATAAAGTTATAGCACGAAAGGAGAAGAAGACACAAAGATTTCCTAAAGTCCTGTAGCCTCTCAAAGAAAAGTACAGACGTCTCAGTACCGTTCCGTAAGACTCTACTAGACTCATTTTGGTACAATGAGATCAATGAATCTAGGGCTCTGATACCAACTTTGTCACGACCCAGACCGTCGTGATTGACACCCACACTAACCCTCCGATGGGAGAACCATTACTACAACCCAACTACACAACTTAACAAAAACTAGAACATTTAAAGATACGGAAGCACGCTTAAATGTTTAAAGAAATATAGAGTTCCCATAAACTCTGAAATTTAATAAAACAACTACCAAAACATTTGCGGAAAACAACTCCTAGAACTTGAAAGTCATTGTACCAAAACTCTAATTTTAACAAGTCTAAGAAAAAAGGGTACAACCCTAACCAAGCATAAGAAATATCTTTAGAACTAGTCTAAGTCCGAAGAGAATGAACTAAACATAAGA